GACATTTTATTGCCATTTTGTCCACTTCAGATAAGAAACATCATCTTATAACATCCTTGGATTGCAGCAGGACAGTCATTTGATTACTGCAGTTTGAAATTAATGATTAATGTTTAAATCTACAGATTAACCCTAGTCTTTCCATGTTCAAAAATACTTACTTTAACAAGGTTTTTACAACTATTTATTTGTTATCTGCTCTAGTCTTTTAAGAGTACTAAAGCTAACACTGAAGTACCAGTAGTGTTGGCTAGTTCAATAACAGAAACAATGATTAAAGAGGTATGACTTTGTCAAGTCAGTATCATTTTACTGAATATCTGAATATATTTCTCATATAAGAAACCTACTCTACCTTCTCTCTACTTTAATATGACAGCAAATTAATATGGTTTGTGATCCATCCGACAATAGGTTTGAGTAATTTACTTCTACCTTAAATTTGTTCCTAGAAAATCTATTTCATGTTGCTTTATTAATGTTTTACCTTTGCACTGGATACAGAGGGTTGGTAAAAATCCTTTAGTTCCAATGGTGTCCTTAAGCCTTTTTTGGATTTCAGTGAAAATAAATAAATTCTGGTTATAGTTCTTTGTTAATCCTCCAACTTGTTTGCACAAAGTGCTGTGACATCCAGTTTAACATTGCTTAGTTCAGATTAAACTGGTACCATTACTTGCTTACCCCTGGCAGTAAATATCCCCTTCAACTGCTGTTATCAAGACTTATTGTAAAAACAGGTTCACTTTAATGCCTCATTTACAATTTGCTAGATTCTTTCTTGCTTCAATGCTTCCTCCATTAATGTGACAAAATTAGAGACAGTTCCTTGCCCTAAAGGGAACCAATAAAATTCCCATATTAATGAAGCTATAATGGCGGCAAGCACATCATTATTAGGTGGTTTTAATTACTTTTAAAATTAAAAGAAGAAGATCTGATGCAAGAAAGGTTATCTCAGAGCCATAAAGTAAGGGCATAAACATCTGTGTACTTTAGGATTTAATAATCTTACCTCAAGTCACATGAAAGCCCTTTGTACAACACCTTAGGCTTTCCTTCATTTAAGAAATCTATTTAGTTTCTAATGAGTTTGGACTGTTTATTAAGTATTTTGTAATAACATTATTACATTTACTGAAGTGATTCCAGTTACTTGAAAACATCATTACACTTACAATGCCAGTGTTAAGCATTTTAAATCTACAACCATAAAGAAAGAGGGAATGAAGTTAAGCACGCAGTGTGTAAAGTAGTTTAAACATTTTGAAATGCACATTCTGGCACTTTGTTTGAAATATAAATAATGAAATATAAATAATGATTATGTGTTTTAAGCTTTCTTAAATACCTACTGTAGCTGAGATGAATTGATTACAGTTAGGTTTGGAGATTTGGAGTGCTTTTAATTTCTAATGTTGATCAGGATAGATTTTTTCTTTTGGTTTCAACCAGTGGAAACCTAAGAGGAGCAGCGATAACAATGCAATGCAATTTGCAAAATGTTGCAAAGGAATCCGAAAGGCAGGGGAATTGAGATAATCTGTAAGCACAAGGAGCCTCAAGACACCCTGAAAAGCTGACGGATATTAGAGTTAACAGGCATTACTTTAAACACAATAGTGAAATCAGCTTTTTTGAACCAGGCATTTCTCCTCGGTGGTAGATCAGATATGGGATGGCATGGTCAATGAATCAAATAGATGTGGCATGGCCAGTGGTCATACAACACAGAGCACAGCCATTTAGGTATAGCTGACTGAATTGAAGTAAAAGTCACGCACCAAGGGCACACAGAATGAGTGTGTGTTTCACCACAACAGCAGCATTTATAATGAAATGACCAGAAGTTTCTTAATTCAATGGAGTTAAAGTTGTTACGGACATGTAAAGATTATGGAGTGATCTGGAGCATCTTACGACCTGGAAGACAGGAAAGAGGTTTGGGGAGAGAGAAGGAATAGGGCGATAAATGAGCAACGACTGAGAACAATGAGGCAGAGAAATAGGAGAGGATCCACTGCAGGGAGTAGGAGTCACCAATTCTGCAGGCGACAGTGAGCAAACCAGCAAACCGATGACCACATCTAGCAGTCCAGAGCCCAGGCAACGGTTCCATTGATGAAGTTGGGCTGCTGCCCAAAAACTGTGATATTCATGATAACAGAGCCGCTGAACTGCAGAGCAAAATCAAGGGTGAAGTCAGCCAGCTGAGGCAGACACTCTGAGAAGGTGCACAAAATTTATGATAGGCTGGAAATTCAGAAAGATGAAGGCAAAGTAAAGAAATTGTTTTACTATGACTGTACTATGGTACAGTATATGGTAATATGCGCTTCAGAGTTGAAGAACTTAGGTGTTGTTGTTGGTTTAAAACATTTGTTAAAAACATAATATTATTAACAAGTGTTAACTTTGTGTTATTTATTGAGCTTTCATATTAGATAAAGATAAGTCTCTGAAGGCTTCTATGACTTTTTAGTTAAAGTAAAAATGTGTATTCTTTCTCCTGGGCGCAAGGGAGTTAAAGACTGAAGCTATGTTTCTCTGGCTGAACTTGTACAGTAAATATTATGTGCAGAGTTTCTGGACTTAGACACATCACGTGTTTTGCTCTACCTCACACATCATCTCATTACAGATATTCTCATACTTTAGATTTGGTTTTCCTGAAAATTCTATGAGGGAAGAATCAATTTTGTTTGTGGTTTGTTTATGTCAATTCTTTCTTAGATTTTCTTTCATTTAAATAAATGCTATTATTTTTCTACCCGAGTTTGTGTACTTATGGGTCATCATGATTATTTGTAGTATGAATATTATATGGTTAAGTAGTAACATGTTTAGTATAAGCTGTATCAATAGAGAATCAATATATCATAGCACTTCCTCACTGACTAAAAGTGTTTTAAAGTAAATGTATTGGGTTTCTATAGTTTTATGTACATGAATGTACATAAAATGTACATAATAAATACATAAAATGTACATAACATATATATAAACTCACTTTGTAAGACTTAAACATTGAAAAAAAATGTATTTACACACAATGCTTAGCTAAAAGAACAAAAGTAAAACTAATGTAGAAACGAGGATTACCTTGATTCCAGTGTTGCTGCCACTTTTCAGAGTTTCAGTAAGGACATAAAGTAGAAACCATGTTAATAAATATGTTTTAATACCTTAGCAAATTCACTGTTCTTGCAGGTTCCACCCACTTAAGAAACGACATGAAGAGTTATGTGACTAATGGATGTAGCTGTGGTTCATAATAAGATTATCATCTTATGGATTTGGCTTGATATAAAGTTTTAAATGTGTTTGGGGACTCAGTAATTGAATGGAAAAAATTGAAATGACAGTTTATATTACCATTAACATTTTTAAAACAGTGCCAGAAGGTATAAATATTTAATTTTCTCCCCTGATTCTTAGCCATTACACCAAATGTAAAGCGCATACTTTTTACCAGATATTTAATCACATCCCTAATGTAGCAATTGTCTTTTGCTAAGGGGGAGTCTCTAATATATTATGCCTGATCGTTTCAATGTTTTAAAAAATGTACATATAGAGCTGCAACATCTACTGTATGAAAGTAGAGAAAAGCACAGTAGGGATATTTTAACTTAATATTTGTGAGAAACCAAGTAAGTGTTCATGAAAGATTTCTGAATTCCGATTTAAATGCAGGAATGTTGTCAGTATTTGTCACCTTTACTCCATTAGTGATTTTTAAACCAAGAATACCAGTAACTGGTAAAATCACATATATATATATTTATGTATTACTTTCAATGTAAAGGATTTTTTTTAGAAAATGTCACCACAAAGATAGTAACACTTGACCGACAGCTTACAATACAGTATGTGAAGACATGCCCTCAGTAGGAATGATTTTTCATGAATCAAATTGAACCTTGGTTGAATATGTAAATGAAACTCAGGTAGATTTAATTTTGATTTTTGAGTGTGTAGAATGACAAATAAAACAGAGCCAATGGGAAGTCTTTACAAATACAAGAAACTCAAATGTATGGATAGGATTACAACAATGTTAATAATAATAATGTGAGGAGTATGAATGTTGTAAAGCGTTTTTACTTCTGCACAGCCAACATAATATCGTTCAAGATAAATATACCTTCTAGCAACACGGAGATCTATGGTTGTGAAATTCACCATTGTATTGGAGCTGTTGTGAGTGCTGATGTAATCCTAAAAAAGATTCAGGTCTACAAAACGCAACTTCTGTTGCAACAGTAAAATAGAAAGGCACCTTTCTATTTTACTGAATTACACTGACACCTAGTGGCCTAGGGAATAATTCAACATGATTTAAATTTCAGAATCGTTTTAACATCTGGTTTCTAATACATACTAACAGCTTCCAAGACCTACAAAAGAAATAAAGTGGCATCAAATAACTACAGAGTTTCAGTCATAGTCTGGCTTACGTGATCACAAAAATAATGAGGTTTTTAACAAAAGTTTGGGAGGGATAACAGCAACCAAGGTCTCCCTCACCTCGTACAGTCCTCCATGACAGCACTCTCCAAACTGTAAATACTGCAGTAAATCTCTCTCTCTCCTTCTGTTGCTCATGTTAACTCATCCACCCCATCTCCTCCTTTGCAGCGGCCGTTTAGTTAACTTCTCTCTCTCTGTATGGGGTCCTCATCCTACAGCCAGGTGACTGGCCCTCGGCCTAAGGGGTTAAGACAGTGTCTTTTGCCTGTCTTCTCAATAAACATTCCTACTGTAATGTATTTTCTTATTGGGTGATTTTACAGTTACAGTACATGACCTTCAATATCTGGAGAGAGGGATTTATTAAACAAAATAAAAGAATGGCGTGTGCTGATTGCGATTGCTGCTTACAAGACCTGAAGGGTGTTGATATGGTATTGTAAATATCTGAACATTTATTAATAGGCTTGAATTTAGCTTTAACTTTCATAGTCACATTACTATGTCTGCTGGTCAGCTCTGTCTATTTTTAACACTCACAGCCACTCTAGATATTTCAAGTGCTTGCAAACCTTCTGTAGCAGAGCTAAGAGTACAGTGAAGAGCTGAATTTACTTTTTTAATTCCGAGAGAGGTAAGCAATAATCTTGTACATTGGCCCATAAAGGCAGTGTTTGTCTTTAAAATATACTTGGGAACTTGTGTAAGAAAATAATTTTAAAATGTAAACTTGTCCATTGGAAAACCTATAGGTCAAGTGTTTCCTCACCCTGTTTTGGCATATTTTGTAACTAACACCCAACAGCAAGTGGTTAGTGGGGTATTTATCAATCAGAATTCATGCACTATCAGCAATTATTGAATGGCTGCTGAACGTCCATAAAATCTATGATAAAATGAAGAATTTAAGTTGCAATAATCATAATGTCAAGGTCAGATACATTAGCTACAGTAACAATATAGCGGTATACATCTACTGTATAATACTGGTGTTGTTCTATATTGTACATTCAACATGTACTTATCGTTCAATATTTAATCCAGTTTAGATCAGTACTGCATAAGTGCATGTGGGATTTCTTAAATTAGATGCCTAAAAAAATTATTGGTTTAAGGCTTTTTTTTTTTACTGCTTCAAAAAGCAATACTACTTCAGAAATACTAATGAAAACCACCACATGTGAATACTGCAGGTTATTGAAAGATTGGCAGTATGTTTGTAAAACTCATCATAAATTTTTAATGTCCCATGAATGATCTTTTTTTATAGTATCAAAATCATCTGTGCACTCCTATTAAATATTTCTTTAGCCTTTAAATGTGTTTGTTAAAATAGATAAAACTTTACATAACTGGATGGAAAAGGTGAAAATCTATTTTTGAAAAAACGAATTTAACAGAACGAGAGGGGAAATACATTTAATTTTGTCTACATGAATACGTTTTTTCCTTGTCTTTAAAAGTGATTTGATATTGTCTAGGAATGTATGATAATCAGTGATTTTGCAATGGACGCCACTGTCTCTGTTGCAGGTGCTGATTTCACCTCTGTGGATTGCGATATTCTCATATGAATCTGGAGAAGCAATTGCACTTTGCATAAAAAATGGCAAGTCCTTTACATTTTTTAATTTTATTTAAAAGCATATTTTTAAACATACAATATTAAAAAGTGGTGGCATGATGTGAAACTATACATTACTTACATTATCAGCACTAGTTGAAATAATAGTGCTGTACAGTACAGTATGTCTACCAGCACAAAATGCCATGGAGGTTTACTCCATTGAAAGTATTATTGACCTCAGCTCAAGCTAAAATCCTTTCCGGGGAGACCTGCAAATTCATGCCTTTTTGTTTTGCTCGACTTTTTTCAGGGACGAAACAATAAAGCTCCAGTAGGGCAGCACAAGCACTGCGAAAAGTGTTTTAGTCGTCGCTGCAAGGCACCAATACAGATCTCTGTCTCCTGCATGGTGATCAACTGCCGCCTGCTCTGTGGAGCAGTGTTCCACATGTGCAAGGAACAGGAGCACCAGCTATTGTGCCCCAATGAAAAGGTGCCTTGCCTTAATGCTGGGTATGGCTGCCCCTTCTCCATGGCTCGCTGCAAGCTCTCCAAACACCTGGAAGTCTGTCCAGCCAGCATTGTGTGCTGTTCTATGGATTGGAACCGCTGGCCTGTTGCAGAAACTGATACTGTCTTCTATGAGAATGTCCTCAAAGAACCCTTTTCTGACGAGCAGCTGGACTTGACAATGGCTCTTAGAGATCAAAAGCTCCTTTTCCGGTCTTTGAAAATGGGTTCCCTTTTTCCTGAACTTGAAGAGCATGTTGAAGAATTGATGCCCTCCGAGCTAGAGGGTGCAGTGGGAGGCATGGCAGAAGGCTCATTGCAAGGAGGAGTCTTCAGCGAGGCTGAATTGCAAGGTCTTACACAGGAAGAGCGTGAAGCTCTGGCTAAGGATAAAGATGTATGTGATTTGAGCAGTTACAAAACCTGGGAAATGATGTTCAGCAAGGAGCTGACGAGTTGCAAGGTAACAGAAGAAAACTTGAAGACCAAGGAGAAGAATACTGAGAAAAAAGAAAACACTGCTTCCTCTAGCAAACAGGCAGAACAGGAGAAAGAGATAAATAACAGCAAAGAGCCTGAACCTGACAAACATGACGATCATGCAAAGACAGGATTGGCTCCCTGGCAGGATGGTGTCCTTGATAGGCTTGGAAAAGAGACCAACGTTACTGAGTACAACATGTATCTGGTGCATCACGGGAGCATGCTGATTAGATTTGGACAGATTGCCGCCTGTACTCCGAAAGAAAAAGACTTTGTTTATGGGAACCTGGAAGCCATAGAAGTAAAGACTGTCCGCACGTTCAAAGTTCCAACCAGCTATAGTGCAAAACGCTCCCACATTGGAGATGTAGCAATCCGGAAGAAAAAGGAAAATAAGGCAGTAGATACATCTGATTTAGGGGTCTCTGACGAGGATATACCGAAATGGGATGAAATAAGCGCTACTTTACTTTGCTCCTTGGAAAAAGAATTAAGAGGTCACTTTATCTCTGAAACTGTGGCAACGGATGGCCTCCTTTTAGACTTTGGCACCCAGACTTATTCCTTCAACACAGCCCCATTCAAGCCAGAATCCACACTGGCTGATATAGTAGAGGGCAGGAGCCCCAGCCTCAATCTGAATCTTCAAGCTGAGTGTGTGACCGCAAGGCATAACAAAGTCAGCTCTGCATTCACTTTCCTGTGCAACCACTTCTTCAGACGAGATGAGTTCCCTTCACACTTCAAGAACGTCCACGCAGACATTCAGAATTCTTTGAATGGCTGGTTTGAGCAGCGTTGTCCTCTGGCCTACCTTGGGTGCACTTATAGCCAAAAGAGGTTCCACCCATGCAGTCAAAAGGCCACTTTCACCTACAACCAAGATCTCAGCACATTCACTCTCCGACCAGTGGTCTCAGCCTCCCTCTTTCGGGGAGTGAAAACCAAACCTGCCGACAGGAAACATGCGCGCAACCTGGACTCTCTGAGTAGCCTGCCTTTTGAGATTCTCCAGCACATTGCAGGATTTCTAGACAGCTTCAGCCTTTCCCAGCTAGCTCAGGTGTCCCACCTAATGAGGGATGTCTGCGCTTCTCTGCTGCAGGAACGTGGCATGGTGTCACTGAAATGGGAAAAACGCACATACTCCCATGGAGGTTCATCCTGGAAAGCACGAAAAAAGGCAGGTTCCAGTATAACAGATACTTTTAAAACATTGCATACTCACACATTCACATTACTGGCTTCCTATTTTATACCTACTGTATGAAATCCTGAGCTGACATACTGTATGAGTATGAGGCAATATGGACTAATTATAGTTGGAATAAAATTACTGAGTAAAAGAAAATAACCACCCTATTTCTATATGTTACATACTGTAGGTGTTATTCTACATTACAACACTTGGAAATGTTTTAAACCTTCTTTAATTGCTATAGAAGTTATTCTGAACTTTATTTCAGAAGCTGTTCAGAAGTCCAGAAGCAGTAGCCTCCTAAAATGGTGTCAGATTGACCTAATGGGTTGCCCAAATAATATGATTTTGCAAGCAGATGTTGAGCTGTGCTTGTCTTCTTAATTGATCCAATAGTTTGCAATTCAGATCTTGGTTCTTGAAGTCATATACTGAGAATGTATACTGATTTGTGATTGAAAAGTCTGAAGTCTTAGAATACAAAACTCATTTGTGAGCTCACTTGGATATTTGTGTCACTGGGTTTGTGCTAAGTACACAGTAGCTGAAGAAGTCCAAACCAGCGTCCATTTGCTTGTTGTGACATTTAGCTGTACCTTGGCATAATGCTATTTTCAAATAAACAGCTGCTGAAACTGGAGCTCCTGAGGAGTTAGAAAACAGGGTCTCACTTTACCACTGGAGCTGGGTACAACCCATGTGTAAACATGAAGCAAATTGGTAACCTCAGCATGGGCAAAGGCAAATATTCTATAGATTATGACTCAGCAGACCTAGAGTGTTTTTTTGCTAAATTATTTCAGATTCAAAGCTAATCCACACCACAGTTTTTCAGATATGTTTTTTAAGTCTTTTATTTTTTATCCTTTAGAGTTGTGGTCAATAGAAAAGTAATTCATGCATGATTTATGATACCAGTTGATTGAATATCATGTGAATATCAAATATAACACAGCTTTCTAAAATAAATTATTTGCTTTGCTATATTATTACTCCACCAGATGGCACATGTTCAAAGAAGAAACTGGTCAAGAAAAATCTAATTCTATTTTCTTAAAGAATTTAGGTAAAAGAGTTGTAGGATATAGGAGATCAACCATTTTAAACCATTTTTTAAAAACATACTTCTAAATATACAGTATAAGCATGAAATACTGTAGTGTGTGGTCTGACCAAAGTAAATCCATAGCTTTTAAAAATAGTTTTGGGTATTTTAACAATATTTAACAGTTTTACAATAAATATTTTTCTTACACACTGTACCTACTCAATTTGGAATCACCAGTAGTGTGTTTTTCTGGTCTCACATTTCATATGGATATTATAGGTAACATACTGTATCCACGGTCTGACACGTGGGTGCTCCTTTTCACTTTCTTTGTCTCATTCAAATGTTTTATATATGTAGAACTTTAAAACATAATGTTCTAAAAAAATGTCCCATGAAATCACATGGGATCGCCAATGTAAATTTAATGTGAATGAAGAACTATAGACAGTCTTCTCTGGCCTATCTAACTTTCAACCACTCATCTGTTAACACATCACAGTCTACGCAGCTCTTCAGGAGATTCAGAGCCAGTTTGAAGAGAGGTGAATTCCTCATCTATAGAACCACAGGCCTAGCACTCAGGAAGTCATAGGACAGCTGAGACTTCTTGCTGGCTTATTCAGCCCTACCTTAGGCTAAACTCAGTCAGCTGTGAGACATCATTTGGGGAATCACAGTCACAGTCAGGTAGTGACATGACACAGACTTGAACCTGCAACCCCTGGAACACAGAATTAAGCCTGCACTTGGGCAAGAGCTTTTACCTGCTGAAGTAAAAAAAAAGGACAGAGAACTTATATCCTTGACTTTTTTTTATAAACTTAGAAGAAACAGCAATTCCCAATGTAACTTTGGTAGAACTTGCCACATCACACACAAGGCACAATAGTAAAAATTCAAGCCAAGGACCTAACAGCTTTAACTACAATGTAACACATTTTTAAAATGAATATGTATATGCCATCTTTTCTTAAATTGGTTAGTCTGTTTTGCCATATTTACACACCTTGTTGCCTTCTCTTTAACCTCTGTTGTGTCTCTTGCAAAGGTGTGGCACTTCAGCACAGTGTTCTCCACTGTAGACAGATGGTGCTTTGATGATGTCCCTTCCATGTCTGAACACCTGAAGGTCTGTCCCTTCTACCAGACCGAAGTAAGAAGTGAACCTGTGGCCTTGACCAGCATGTGTGACACTAATGAACAAGCAAAGGAGACACAGGAGAGACAAAGTCTGGTAGCTATGTTCCTGTCAAAATACTAAATTTGGACTGGAGAAGAAGAGAAATCGGAATGTACTCTTTTTGATCGCAATCGATGTCCATTTTTTTAAACAAAAGTAAAAGAACTCATGATAGATACAGAAAAAACAAGATGAGCATAGGGTTTTGCTCAATAGGAACTTTAGGAATTAAGTTTGTTTTATGAAATCTGTTTAATCACAAAATGGATAATATGGATTCTTTACAGTTACGTTTAAGAGTTTTGACTTTTAAGGTATTTAACGTGTATACATCACATTTTGCTTTTTCATTTTCTTCAAAAAATTATTTGTATTGGTTCAGAATGTACCCTGACCAGAATATTTGTATACCAAGAACACAAAACCTTTGAACTGACAAATTAGATGTACTGTAATTGTTGTTTTTTATCAGCAATTGTCACACACCATGGATTTGAGATGGATGGAGGATATTTTTCCCCCACAGTAAATCTGCTGCTATATGTTACAGCCTCTCTTTATATTTCTTAAGAACAGTGTCTGAGATTCTTCCACTGTCTCAATAGTACTTTTCTTACATTGTCAACGATTATTGAATTGGGCTCAGGATACCAGCTTTTTAAAACATACTTTGCCATCACTATCAGTTATGTACAAGAAATATTGTACTCTTAACTTCACACAACTGTTTTAAATGCTTGTGATAATGGGACTGATAAAATGCTGAAATTTGAGTGTACCATCATACACTGAAAATACCACAGATATCCACAAGAGGGAGCATCATTCTTTTCTCTCTCACACACTACTACTAGAAAAACGAATAACTGCTTAATTCTTTTAAAATTAACATTATATTGAACATATATATATATAAAATACTTTTATGAGCTTTTAAGAATGTTGCTCAAAAGTGATCTTTGAACATAATATAAGAATTAAATGTGACAAAACCTGTAAAAATTTCCAAATTGAACAGTATAGCCATCTTTTGAAGGCAAAAATAATTAAATGGGTGCCCCTTTTTAAAAAGAAAAACAATACTTCAAAGTTAATTTCACTTCTTTGTTTTGCTTAAGATTTCAGGATTATGATGTTTCCTCAAATGCAGCGAATTAATAAAAAAGGAAAGAAAGTTGAAAATGTAAACCCAGCCTAATTTTCTTGTTTCTGTTACGTAAAACAGGATAGAAGATAACACAGTAATCTTCAAGAAAATTAGCAGTTGGAAATAAAGAATCTCCTGATGCTTTACCCCATCTGCTCTCACAATAACACGCCTTCAAGGTTTAATCATCCCGAACTTCAATATGATATCATTTGAGAAGAATATAAATACATTTTTAATGGACTCAAAAAGTTCAACTCATTAAATTTCCATTTTATAAGAAAACAGTACAATTTATTGGACACTCTGTTAGAGCATCTGAAAAATACTTTTCAGATTTTGTCAAATCTAGCATTCAGTTGACTTTAGCACTGAGCAAAAATTAGAGTCGTAGGCACGTTCTCCTTTAAGTACTGTAGTTCATTAATTTCAAATATGTACATCTGCTTTGTATAAAACTTTTAAACCTAAACCACAAAAGTTCAAACAGCATTGCACTGGAATCAGATTAATGTACTGATTTATTTTTAATTTATGTCAGTTTTGAATTAGATCAGTCTCAATACTTACAACAAGACAGCAACATAGTTGATACAGTACATTCTGTATCAGCTGAATATTAAACATCACTGCTGTCATTCTATGAGTTTTTCACAGCAACTTTCTCAATGACACAATGCAGCTAGATCAGAAGCAACTCTTGGTGTATTTCTGACATTTCTCAGATTCTCGTGATGCAGGGCATTCATAAATCATTTGAAAGTACAATGCACAGTATCTGCACATGTCACATAGGTGGAAAGTGACAATTCCTTTTCTGGGGGAGAGAGCTTTCACAGAAATATACGTGTTTTTGTTATATCTCATATTGGATGGGAACTGGGGGGATTGTGGAACAGGGAAGATGTTGATGGTGTTGGAACAGCAGCAGGGACAGTATTGGTGCTGAGGACTGCCTAGATAGTAAAAATAGACTGCCGGGCTAATTTTTAATAGTGATGCCATATAGGACACATCAGCTGCATGAAACAGTCCTGGCCTTTACTCATCAGTAATGAGAGTGAATTGCATCATTATATTTTCACTTAAGCTGGTGCATTAAATTATTTTAAAAGCCTCATGCGCTGGTCTGCCATACAGTATTTTTACGATCCTGCGGGATGTATGGTAACATTTACAACAACGTAAAGAATGAGCTTTTAGGAATACACAAGAAAATAAAAATGAAGACTCAAAACGATACTTAATCTTAACTACATAAGGTTTGTAAGAGTTTGAAAGCTTAAGAGCAGTGGTTAAAGTGAGATTATATGCATTGGTAAAAATATGATAATATGACATACTGGTAAAAATAAAAGACAAATTAAAGAGCCACACTACAATTCAAGAATACCATGGGCAAAACAAACATTTACACTTAGTGCTCTCCCTTCAGTCTTCATGCAGTCTGCCTCCAGGCCCTTCCATTATAGCTCCCCATCCCCAGATAGTCCCCACGATCATCTGAGAAGATGACATACTGTACAATTTTGCATAGAGTGGTTTACTTTGTGTGCTTTCAACAGCTGTAGGACCTCTGGAGAAAGACAACAGTGAGTTTTCATCTGTTCATGGGGAACAGAAATAAGATACTGTACCTTTGAGGAAACAGATAAAAAGAATGTCTTTGTATGCTGCTAAACCTCATCTTTTTAGGAATCAATCTGGTGATAAAGACTGAAATAACCGTGCTCACTCTCAGTGTGTTAGCATTTGGGGTGGGGCCCTCTGTGCAAAACTTTAAGGTCAAATTTTCTTTTTCAGAAGTTTTCCTGAACAGTGATGTGTGTTATGAAACCAAGCAAATATAGACTGTGCTGGATAGGAAATGGAGCGCACCAGAAAAAAAAAAGGCATTTGAAAACCAATTACGCAATGAAACTGGAAAAGGGCTTGGAGTTTTATGTTTTAAACACATAAGAAGAGCATTGCCTTTCATTTTATATTCATTTATTTTACTACAGTAATATCTTTGTGTCTTTATATTTATGCCAGCTTTCCTTCCATCTTGTATCTTGAATATTTTTCTCAGTCATACTGTATTTTACCTGTCAGTCATGCAGTATTTATGAATTGTGAATAAAATGTTTATTCACAAAAATGCTTCTGTCTTACATCTTAGAAATCTGGGTTTAATGCAGAGCTTTTTATTTTCCGTTAAGGGATTCAGTGACAAACTGAAGCAAAAATTGACTGCAAAATGAAAAACTGTTTTGATCGTTTTAATTGCGATTTCCTTTTATAAAGGTTTACCAAAATTGCTGTAGCTCCACATAATACATTTTCCCAAAAGAAATAACACTGTACCTTTCTTAAAAAAGACTTTTGCCCAGGGCCGTATTCAGAAATATTAGCTGTCAGCTGTTCCTTGCAGTACCTGCAACATCCTCACTGTATTGATTTGATCCACTGAGTAATTCAACACAGTGTTATCCCAATTTACTATACGTGCGTCATCTTGCTGTGATGAATGAATTGGAATCAAAAATATAAAAATTACATCTTTTAATATACTCTCCCAAATACCTTTCTCTGACTGCTTTCAATTTACAGGACAGGTGCTAATGAAAGTGAAGCAGACTTTTCTAAAAATAGAATGTCATCTACTCTCTTTAATTCAGCATTCAGTTAAGAGAAAAAAAAACATTTTATATCAGTGAGAATGACATTTCCTTGAGATAGAGAGGAACATTTTTATTGGCACTCTAGACCACCTACACATTCTGACAGTGCTGTGGGGCCAATGTGACGACAAGTCTCTGGTGTTATCATGCAGAGAAGATGGTGTGTATTAAAAGGCATGTGAAAGTTACCTGGTTCTCATCATCTATTGTATTGCACATGTGGATTCTGTTCATTTCGCCTTCCACTGAAAATTTCTGAAGCAATACCATTGAGTTAATGTGCTCAGAATCTAAAGGTATCATTCCCCTTTAGCTAAGAGGTGTCATTCACCTCTGTGTCTCTGTGTAGTTGCACTTCAGTCCTTTTTTCCCATTTCATGGAAACAAAAGATGGCATTTCTTCAATTATTTTAATGGTGTAGATACTGTATACCCTCTAAAGCAATACCTTAAGTACGCAATAGTTTGTAACACACAACCTACATAGCCTATACAATACTTATACAGTATAAAGAGTATATACTGTACAGTATTTTATTAAAAATATTTTTAAACTATAGCCACTTTAAAGTTACTATACTGTAGAACACATTTTACTGAAATATGAAAATTTCTTCACGTTAATTCTATCGAGTGTTTTCTACTGTGGCAAAGTGCAAAACACCTGTAACACCACTAACGCCTGTTCCAGCAGCAATCTTAGCTTTCTCAGAAGGATTTCCAACCAGGTACTGGCCAGGCTTACACCTGTTTATCTTCAGTGGGTTGTCAGTTGTGAGTTGCAGGGTGATATGGCTGCTGGCTTAAAGTTAAACTCCACTACAAACATGCACTGTATGCATTGCAAAGTTAGTAAAAAAATAGTTTAGCAGACTTGCCTGTACCTTTGAATTTATGCTTTTCCTGTTGGATGTACAAAAAATGTACAAACTTTTAAAGAAATTATACTATTTAAGATTTTTTCCAGGCTTCAGCTTGGTTAAAGCTTCCCATCAGTAGGAAAACAAGTAAGAGTCCAAAACTGTGTTACTATGGGACTGGCAGATGGGGTATGGTGTGGCAGTCCACAGGCAAGGCCTGAACTTGTGAGCAGAGACTCTTAAGTTTAAAGAGGAATATTGCTACCTTGCTTTCAAGACTATAGGTGAGATACGTTTCCCAGGTCGTAGTTATCTCTGGTAGTCTCACCACATTTTTGAAGTTCTACAGTAAACACTTTTTTTGCTTGGTAACCATATTGTATCCAGTACAAACGTGATTTTTACCATTTGCATTAGCTACAGTAGCAGACGGGGTAAGGAGATCTGCATGCATGGACTGCAATTGAGTGTCCAGAAGGGAGGATAAAGGCTCCAGCATCTTGTGCAGTCTGTTATCTGTCTCCAAGCCCGTCACCAACAAGGGAGCCTGCAGATGTCACAGCCTTTGAAACATGGCTTTTCCTGGCCCCGATTTCTTTCTGAAAGCCCCAGTCTGTAAAAGTGATGTGCTTTGGCAACGTCACTGCTTATTTACTCATTCGCAATGTAAAATAGGCCTGAGGAGGGGACACAGGTGGCCCATCAAACCAAAGTATTGTACTGTATCAAGGGAGCTGCAGAGAGTGGACCCCGCTGCTGAATCTGGGATCAGATGCTAATGTCAGTTGTCAGTTTAATGCACGGGTTCTTCTGTAGTTCAATATACAAACACATTATATATACAGT